ATAAGTTGTACTTATGCATAATTACTTTTAATCTTGAATTTTAAGTAATATACATCAATATACAGTACTTTATGCATAACAAAAATATATCGATATTCGTATCAAATTAATTATTTAAAATTCCTCATTTTTTGTGTAATTTTTTAATTTAATTTTGATTATAATTTAAATTAGGTACAATAACGAAGTAATTTATATTTGGTTTAATAATATAATTTTCTTATAAAGATAATAATTGTAACACCCCATATCACACATTGCATGTAACACATACTTCATATGGAAGAAATACATGTCTATATACCACTCAGGTCCCTTAGTACAAGAATTTACCATACAGAATACATGCCTCAAAAATTCAAAATACATTTATTGTACTAATCAACGTTCATCAATCAAAATTATACATCATAGACAAATCTTCATGTAGATATGCATATAGGAAAATATTACATTTTCTCCTTCCCCTTACCGTCCGTACCTCCTGCAATACATATTTAAAATAACAAAACGAGGGTTAGACCGAAAGGTCTAATGAGTTACCCTATTTATGTTATTGCAGGGTGAAAATCACCAAAACATTGTACAAAATAATATTTTCATATATATAACAAATATATGAACAAATAAGAATATATTACCAGTATCTTTCCACTTTTCAAGCCAAACATTCAGCTATTCAAATAACATACTTCAAACCTTTATAGGTTTGAACCAACCAGTTTTCATATAATGTCACTTTTAAATCTTTTCCATTAAACAAGGTTTATTTAAAGTTTCAGGCCAAACCTGTTATTTTTCTTCTCTATAACATCCAGACTATGATTTCCAATAAAAAACCCGATCTTAAACCTTTAAATCACAAAGAAATAAAGATTTTAGACCACGGAAATTTTAAAGAGTTATATATAATAACATACACTCATCCTTATATCCAAAGGTACATCCCTCCTTGATATGTCACCCTTATCCCATAGTACACCTCTCCTTGATATGTCACACTTATCCCATGGTACACCTCTCCTTGATATGCCACCCTTATTTCCTCATAAAAATATTTCACAAAAACAATTCCAATTAGAACAGACCGCAGCCATAAATGTTTTAATGGAATATCATTAGTTCAAAACCATTCTTTATCAAAATTCTCATCTTTATACAAGAATACTAAAAATGATAATTGTATAAATAATACATAAGTCAAAGCACAAATCTATTCAACACAGACTTGGCCGGACTTTATCTCCAGTCAAGCCTTGACCGATTTACTAATCCGGTCAACACAAGACCCTTGTCCGATTTTACTAATCCGGACAACTCTTCTCAAAGCTTTGTCTGATTTAACACTTAATAAAATTCCAACACTTTTGTCCGGATAACAAATCCGGACAACACATGGTCGTATTCATACTTCTCCGTTCAAAACGTAAACTCAATATTTATAAATCGATTAATACTTGACCGGTTTAAGGCTAAACCGCTTATGCCTTGACCGGTTTAAGTCCAATCCGGACAATACTMATCAAGCGGTTTATTTATAAATCGCTTAAGCCTTAACCGGTTTAGGGCTTAAATTGCCTAACTCTTATCCGGTTTATGGCTAAATTGGACAACACTTTAAAATTTTAACTTTTAAAACAAGAGTAAAGTTCCTACAATCAATTATGAAGAGTTTTAAAAGCAATATAAACCACTCACCTTAAAATTCTTTTGAAATCAATTTGAATCTACTTTGTTCCAAAAAGAATCCAGTCAACTTCTTTTCTCTTTAAATCGCTCAACTTATTTCAAAGATGGCAAGAGAATAAAATGGATATCAAACTCTCCTTTCATACTTTCCATGTAGGGAAAGTCGACCACTACAGCCGCACACCGTATACATGCATTTAGTAAATAAACAAATAACCACACTCATGCATACATGCGCATACATGCATGTATATCACACACACACATAAACATATATATATATATATATATATTATACATACATGTGCATCCACATATACACATAATCTCATTTATGCATCTATATTATGCACATTTTCACATACTAGTATGATTGAAATGTATCAATTTATCATGTTGTCAGGTAAAAACATAACAAATAATCACATATTATTTACCTCAGGTGATAACCAAGATCTAATTATCACATAATTAATTATTTTGTTAGAACTCGATAATTATCCTAATTATATTTTAGATTTTTTATATTTTAAAATAAGATGTTTATCCTCTATTTGATTATATTTATCCGCAATTAGT